CCCCCCCCCCCCCCCCCGAGATGACCTGCGGTTTTCTAATACAACCTGTATTCTGCCAAAAAAAAAACTATGTGGTTTATTGGTGTTGAAGTAGAGCAAGAGACGAGTGCACCCCCTCCTAAAAAAAATCCTGGATCCGCCCCTGAGGACGTTAAACACGTCTGGACGAGTCTTTACACTCAGCAGATCAAAAGTCTGAGACCACAAAGACGTCTATTAAGTGCGTTGATCAGACGCACTTAAATTCAGACCACGCTCAGTTTGTCTGACTTTTAATACGTCTGCTTTATTTCCCGTTCTTCCCGCCTTGGACTGCAAAACAGTCGTGCTTTTTTTTCTCGAAATCGCTCTTTGCAAGGCTTAAGGCGCGACATTTTCGGGCGAAGAGCGCAAGCCTCATACGCCCGTTTTCACATTCCCTCCAGGCCTTTCGTTTTACGACAGCTTGTTTTCGAATGAGTAAACGCAAAAATACGACTTTTTCGCGGTCTAAACGTCTAGACGGCAAATAATTTGTTCATCCAACATCCTAAATGAGTTATTACAGTTATTATGAAAACCAACAGAAAGGTCCCTGTATGACAAACTCTCTTAGCGACCCCTTTAAAATGGGTTTATTTACCTTCATTCCTTTAAGAGCAACAACATACGCATCTAAGGGTAACTGATGAGTTTTTAAAAGAAGGCTCCTGAAACAAAATAAGTTGGAAACGCTTTTCATTAGCGTAAATACTTCTATAATTTAATTTCTAAAAGATAATTGAGAAATACATGTATTTATAGCCAGGACCTTTGCCATAGTCTGTTTCATTTCGACATATAAAGTAACAACAAACTGACCAAGAGCCACAATATAAATCCGACCGATTTTCCTCGCTTAGAATAATGTCGCCCTATCAAAGAAATAACTAAAAAAGAAGATGATGGAGGTTGATTGGGGCTGTTGGCTCTTGCAGAAAAACTACATTAACTTACACTTTTTTGAATAAATTCCTATACGTAATGATCTTCAACTTCTCTAGGATAAGGTAAACACCGCACTGTATGAAGAAGACCTGGAAAATAGTAACCAATGCTAGACATGAAGCATAACGCAGAAATAACTTGCACACAAACCTACAGTAATGCTAGCTTTACAGGGGTTAGCGCATTCATCCCTCACAAGTGCATGCTGTATTCCGGCTCATTACTACAACGTCAGTGATTACCATAACTGGAGCTTTAAGAGTCAACTCTTCAAAATAAATTATATTCTTCTAAGAAACTTCTAACAGATGTTTGAAGACCTCATATTTCAGCATAATAAAGCATAAGTAAAGACTTCCTACCCGCGCTGACTTTAATTTATTTGGGTAAAACTAAAAACTAATGTTTTAAAATTTTTTTACTTCTTTAGAATAGTAAAGTCATGGACCTCTCTGCCTCTACATTTAAGAAAAACTGAATCTTTAGACAATTTTAAGGATTGCCTGAAATCCTTTCTACAAATGAAGGATATTTCTACATTCTCTTAATTTATTTTTCTTACTAGTTTAATTATATTCTAGTTTAATATTGCACATGATTGCCACTTGTCTAGGTATTTATGATTTTTTCTTTTAGTTGTTTTTTATTTCTTATTTATTGTGAATTTAGGTAGCCCTTCAGTGAGGGATGTTGTTTCCTGTTTAGGGCTTTCCGGTCAATACTAAGTGTGTATTATGTATTGGCAAACTATGAAAGAAATTAAAGAAAAAAAAGTGTCTAACTACAAACACGCTTTGCCAGTGCAAAAGAGACATGTCTTAGTACCTGTTGTCTATCCAACGTCTCATTTAAAAGTGCAAGATTTCCCATTCTGAAAGTGAACGTAAGACACTCGTTGTAAATTAAACTTGCACAACGGGCGCTAATTTTTTCGCGTTTTTCAGGCAAGCATGAAGCGGGCGTTGAGCGCTGGGAGGGTCAGTAGCTCTCCAGGCAAGGTCTGTGGTTGAAGAACATAGCAATAGATGATTCAACACAAACAATGCCCCTAGCCCTTAAAACCAAAGAAGCTACTGCTTTAGCTTATAGAGGTCACTCTGAGCGAGAAAAAATGTCGCGCGTGTCTCGCGCTTCATGTCTGCTTCGTGCTAGCCTGAGAAAGTTCTGCAGGCTACTGTAAATTTATCTGCATGCATGCAAATGCACTAAAAACACTAGCAGAAACGGCAAAAATGACAAGGTCCATATTAGGGTTTAAACGTTAACCCTTTTAAGTCCCAATAGTGACCAACATCAATTTTCTCCTCACAATATCCATACACTGTCAAGAGATAAAGGCATGAGAATTAATAAAATGATCACCATAGAGAAAATTCCATGATCTGTTATCAAATTCTCTCAACTAATTCTTAAGGGAGATGTATGAAGATCAGTTTGGAGAATTTGTATGTGGATATTGGAGCTTAAAGGGTGAAAGACAGTCTTCATACCTGACAGCTCTGACAACATCCAGAAACTGAGTCAAGTTGTATTTATACAGAAGTTGTTCGTTTGGCATATAACCCTAGACCAGACCACACAGGAAGTTATTAACAGAAAGTTGAACTTACAATCTAACCGCACAATTTCATTGAAAATAATTAATGCTTAAAACAACAACAACAACGAAGTATCTGCGGTTTAGGTTTACTTACAATACTCTTACTGAAAATGACTTTTGATCGAACATTGAAAGTGAGGAGTCATTAAACAATTTTTTTTTTGCAAAAACCTGAAGAGGACAGAAGACAGCAAGGACACTGGACAGGGCTCTATACTAGGCGTGGGTACCATTTGTCAAGAGAGGATATACGAAAGGGGTCCTTTTTTTAAATAAAAGTGGTATACCGTAAAATTCCGAAAATAAGCCCTGGGATTATATTTTTCAAAGGCCCTTTTTGAGGGGCTCATTTTTGGAGGGGCTTATGTATGGAGGGAAATTTGCGTTTCAAAATCGATTGGGCTAGGGTGTAGTGGGAAGGAAATTTATCATTTTTGCTTTGTTTCACTTTGTATTCGAGGGCAAATTCCAAGTAAAAGCGCCCCCCCCCCCCCCCCGGGGGCTTTTTTTGGGGGGGGGGTTTTAAGGGGGTTTTTTTGGCGTTCCGTTTTTGGGGGCGGTTTTTTTTGGGGGGGTTTTAACGTGGGGGGGGTTTTTTTTGGAAATTTTTGGGGAAACTTGTAAAAGGGGGGGGGGTTGGGCCTGGGGCGGGGAGTCCTCTAGTAATAACTTTTTAGGGGCCCC